ATCGAGTCGGCCCCGACTCATAGCGACCCCTCCTTGGGTTTCCGAGGCAGTATCACTACGGAAGTAGGAATGCCCAACCTTCCTTCCGAGGAGTGGCTAATGGGTTTGAACTCAACACCAGCCTTCTGGTTAGCAGGCAAGTGTCTTAGCCACTATGCTACCAGAGCTCCTCGGAAGGAAGATCGGGCAATTTACTTCCATACAGATACTGCCTCGGAAACCCAAGGAGGGGTTGCTATGAGTAGAGGCAGACTCGATGGCATACAACAACAACAATAACAACAACATACTTTATTTACATGGTCCCACCCACACACTATGGATAGCAATCCCCTTGGTGGTCCACAGGCACCACATTTGAATAGTCCTACCCAGTCATTTGATGAGAGTTATAAAGACTGTGGCTAGAAAGGCCATATAAAGTAATTCACTGAACTGCAATGGATGAATGAATGAATGAATAATCTGCTATGACTAACTCCTGTAGCTTTAGGAATAGTATTTCATCTGTGATGCATATAAATGGTTACAAAAGCAAAGGAAAGAAGTCTTCAGGTAGGTTTGAGGACTATAGAGTCCCTTTCAGTCTTCCATAGGTGGCCTCATGTGTCCTGCCTGTCTCTGTTTTTCTGCTGCCATTTTCTTACATTTCTCTCTCCAGTCCTGTATCCTTTTGTCACTTTTTCCCTTTTCATAGCAACCAAGGACATTTGATTCTGAATCCCTATCTTGGCAGTTCTGAGTGAAGGAATGCTTACCCACTCTTCACTGGTTGCTTGAATCAAACTAATGATGTGATTCCTACTCCCTGAACATGGTTTCCTTTTGATTTGCTAGAGTTCCATGTCTTTCTTGGACAATGTATTCTAGAGCAATTAAAATTTTTGGACAAAGGAACCTGTGTTGTTAACTTGTTCTTGTATCTCATGCTTATGTCCTCACAATGATGTTATTGTTTTGAAAAGTATTTTCTCCTGTAAAAAGTATTTTACAGTTTAAAGAAACTGAGGCCAAGTTTTATTTAGACATATGGTCAAGAGCCTACACTGAATGAGTAGACTGTTATTCTTGGGTTAGAACTGCTAAGCCTAGAAGTTGAGGGCATGAAACCAGATCCATCACACTTAAATAAAGGGTAGAATTAAGGCTAAACAGATAATTTGATGAGAATTTATTGAATCTGTAGTACCAGAAAATTGAAGTAATTTTCTTCATATTTTGTTTTAAAGACATAAAAATAATTGTCTAGGATAGCTATTTCATGGCACCATCACTTTGAGCAATGGGGATACCTTCTCTAAAATGGCCAAGTTATTAATTATAAAAACTGCCCTATTAGTTCTGTTTTAATACATGTTGCTTATGACCTGCTTCTTTTCTCTCTTAGACCTTCTCTCACCATGCCCCATAGGAATCTGACAGGAAGCTGTAATGTTAATTGTGGTTGTAAAACACATGAGTATGAGCCAGTCTGTGGATCAGATGGAATTACATACTTTAACCCTTGTCTGGCTGGCTGTGTTAATAGTGGTAATCTTAGCACTGGGGTAAGTATATTTCACTAGTTCATATTTTCTTGTTAATCCAACATCTTGTGACAAGGACACATGGAAATTAATGTACAATCATGATGACTTCAGTCTCTATTTTCAATTAACCTACAAAATACCTTCAGACAAAACCTAGAGGAAAGAAAATTATTCAGTACTTTGCTTTTATTCCAAGGGTGATTAAAACGTTTGGATGTAGTGGTTTGGTTTCATATCAGCCCTCTTCTACTTTACATTCTGTGCCAACTCAATGAAACTTGATAAGGTTGAGCCCTGGGCTTCCCATTTGTTTCTTTGACAGGGCCCCTGTGATGGATTTTGAAGGTCAAGATGGCCACTGCATGTGGTGCTGATAGAAGAAACTAGGAGAATGTCTCCTGAGATGGGAGTCTGTGAGGATGAATTGTGGCTATTTTTCATAGACTTTTTTTTCCCCCTAACTTTTTCCCCCCTAACTTTCAGAGTAAAGACATTTCTGTCAGTTCAAGAATAGGCTCTTTTGAGAGTTCCCTTCTCTGTGAATTATAAATAGGCTGTAATACTGTGGAAGAAGGTTTTCCTATTATACTCAGATCTTTATTGAGCCTGGTCTGATTCTTTGCATAAAACAGCATGTAGGAAACATTTTAATTAAAAGGTTAAAATGAATTTGCATTTTCTGCCCAAGTGATAAAGAGCTATACCATTTAACATGTGTTTTTCGAATGTCACATTTGATTTCTGAGTTTTAAATTATGGTGGTAGAAAGAGAATTCCTGTTGTTGGCTCTCCATCTGTACTTCCCAGGATATGGCCGTGTTCAAAGAGACAATGAGATCTGTTGTTCTCAGTTGCTAAATCCTTCCTTGTAGTAAGTGGGTCCTCTAGAGTAGAGCCCTCATTCTTTAAAAAGAGCCAGCAGTCCTTTATGTGCAGAAGTCAAACAGCACCTATCTTCAGATCACTGTTTTAAGTGACTGGATGATCACAGTGACAATGAGTTCAGCTGATATCCATTCCATAAAAAGCAACATATTAAGCAAGATGGTTAGTTGGCTGAGTTTACCTTTGTTGGATTGTTTTGGCATTGTGTGAGTAAAACCCAAAAATGCTTTATTTTTCACTTCTGTATTTGCTTTAAGTAGAAATCTGAGCAATTCACAGAGAAAATGTCTCTCTTGCTTTTCTGTATCCTCAATACTTGAGAATAGCGCTTAGCATATCAGTAAGGGCTCATACTTATTTTTCAGAGAAAATGACCAACTAAATTTGGGCTCATTGGTGCTTCCAGACAGCCTGTCTGTCAGGGTCCAGGAGCAGCACTGTTCTGGGGCCACAGTGGCCTGATTTAACTTCCATCCATGAGCTGTTTATTCCTGCATAGGATATAGTTCACCAGCTAATCAAAGAGGCTAAAAAGGTGTTTAAAAAGGGTCACCAATGAAAGTTTGTTACCATTGGTACTGAAATCATTATGGTTGCATTATGAATCTTCTACATTTCTTTTTTTTGGTGGTTTGTTTAATTTATATATATATATGTGTGTGTGTGTGTGTGTATATATACATATATATGCCAATATATGTAACAAAACACTTGCCATTCCAACATTCCTCACATGTACAATTTGGTGACATAAATGTGTTCATCATATTGTGCGACCATCACCAATATCTGCTTCCAAATTTTCCATCATCCTTAAAAGAAGCTCAATGTCCTCTAAGTAATGAGCCTGCCTTTCACCCTCCCTCCCACCTGTCCGTGGTAACGACAAGTAAACTTAAGTTTATTATTCTATCCTAAATACTCCATATTAGTGGAATCATATGATGTTTATCTTTTTGTGACTGATGCATTTCACTCAGGATGATGTTTTCGAAGTTTCTGTATTTATGTTATAGAAATTGGCTTTAGGGCCCACGCTGTGCTCAGGGTTGTGCTAGGCACTTCATTAAACACCAATAAAAGTAGGACTTAGCTCCTGTTTTTGAGCAGCTTGTCTAATTGGAAAGCCCAAGAGTTAAACAGCAGTTGAAGTAACATATAAGTATGAACAAAAATGAGGGTGAGTACACAATGTAAATGTTATAAAATTGATGTTGAAAGCTTCTTAGAAAAGTTGGGATTTAAAAAAGTTTCTGACAAGCAGATTTTGATATTGTTAGATGCACACCTTGGACCCTTATTCTTTTAAATGGTAAAAGTCTTTTCAAAGGAATAGTTTGCTTTTTTTTAAAAAAAATACTGGATTTTAAAGCATTTTTTCTTATTTGTCTTAATATTCCTATGCCCCATATTGGTCTTGATTAGCATACAATAGATCTTCATTTTGTCCACTTAGATACGGAATTATACAGAATGCACCTGTGTCCAGAGCCGACAAGTGATTACTCCACCCACAGTGGGGCAGCGCAGTCAGCTCCGTGTGGTTATTGTCAAAACCTATCTCAACGAGAATGGCTATGCTGTGTCTGGGAAGTGTAAAAGGACCTGTAATACTCTTATCCCGTTCTTAATTTTTCTTTTCATAGTCACCTTCATCACAGCATGTGCCCAACCTTCAGCAATCATTGTAACACTCAGGTGAGAACAGTATTGAACTTAATGGGTGGATTATTTTAGCATAGTGGCTAAAGCACTTGACTGCTAACCAGAAGGCTGGCGGTTCAAACCCACCAGCCACTCCTCGGAAGGAAGGTTGGGCACTCCTACTTCCTTAGTGATACTGCCTCGGAAACCCAAGGAGGGGTCGCTATGAGTCGGGGCCGACTTGACGCCACATAACAACAACAACAACAACAATATGTATTTAGAATTGCTAGAAGGCATATTCAGGACTAGGATCTGATGTGGTAAAGCAGTGAGTAAAACAAAATTGGGCTGTACAAGAAAGTGTTCAGATATGTGCCTGGTGAATTTGAGAGAAATGTGTTTTTTCCAAGTCAGGAAAGGAAGGTTATAACATTTCATACTCTAGAACTTTCCTTATTTAATTGAGACCCAGTCCTCCTGTTCAGTGAAACTTCTTCTGCATGCCTATGGTTCCTGAAGTATCAAATCTAAAAGGTTCAACATCAATTGTTGAAAGCTAGAAGTTAGCTAAAAGAGGCCTGACCTTAGAGGAGACTGTTAAATTGTGCGTACACAAAAGGATATTATCTCCAACTGTGTAGATAGTTAATAGCTGCAGGATCATTGACAGTTTATGCTTGGCTTGTAGTTCAAAATGCTGACTTCATTAATTTTACTATCATTTAAAATTTTCGAGTTGACTCAAGGAAAGGATAGACCGGGAAATGTAGTTTTTTAGTTGTTCACGCTGTGCGTTGTTGTATTAGTTATATATCCTGTTTTGTGTGTTTATAGTTTGCAAGAAGATATGGAATGTATCTTTGTCCTATTAAGAATGTTGGCAGTAGCGTATTCAAATCAAAATAGTCAAAATCAGTGGGTTAGTATTTGCAGTAAAGATCGAAGGCAGAATACATCCATGGCAGCTTTGGGGGAGCTAGGGGCACAGAGCAAAGAGGGAGTACGGAAAGAGAGTCAGTTCTCATTCTTCCTTCTTCTCTAATCCCTGGCTTCTTAGAACTCCACAGTGCTGGACAGCTGGCAGGAAGTGGCTTCCGGGACGTTATTGCTTTAGCAATAGCAGCTGGACCCCTTATGTGGTACACGTTTTGGCTCCTCTTCTGTTGGGTGCCAAGTTAGACATTTCCAAGTAAAGCCATTCCTTGAAAGTAAGACAATAGCACATGAAGGCCCTATCGGCTTATTAACTCATTCCTCAATCAGCAGACATTTGTAGAGTGACAACTATGTTACAGCACTGTGTGAATTGCTATGAGAAATAAAGAAGCTGGGAAAAGAGGACAAGGGACTGGTCCTGTGGGATTTTACTTCATATACCTCAAACTCTGAGTGTATGGGATAGAGAAAATAAGATACTTCATCATTTAAAAAAAAATGTATCTTAAATAAATTTACATACATAAATTATTTAATTATTTGAACTTTATGTTGTTGTTATGTGCTGTCTAGTCAGACCTGACTCATAGCGACCCCTCCTTGGGTTTCCGGGCAGTATCACAACGGAAGTAGATTGCTCAATCTTCCTTATGAGAAGTGGCTGGTGGGTCTGAACCATTAACCTTCTGGTTAGGCACATAGTGCCTTAGACACTTTGCTACCAGAGCTCCTTTGAACTTTATAAGAGATGGTAAAAAAAAAAAAATATATATATATATATATATATATATATATGGCTAACCATTTTATAGGGGAACTGGCAGTTGAAACCCATCAGCCGCTCCTCGGAAGAAAGGTTGGGCAATCTACTTTCGTAGTGATACTGCCTCGGAAGGAGGGGTAGCTATGAGTCGGGTCCAACTTGATGGCACATAACAACAACCATTTTATAGTGCTCAAACATTACAGAATCACCATTTAGCATCTCAGCCAAAAATTCAGAAAAAATCTTGCTAATTATAAACACAACACTCCCCATCTCTCTGTGATACAAGAAATACTTGGAGCATGTATTTTAGTAGAAGAAAAAGTGGGGTGGCTGATAGGGCCTTATTCTTTGACGTTTGACTTGTTTCCTTTATTCTTTTTCTGATTTTAGATTTGTATATATATTTTACACTTCCCTTTGAGGGATTATGAGGGCTCTTTTCAGTGTGCATATATATCATTCTGAAAAATACAGGCTAACCGAGACTAAAAATGCAGTACATTAGGATAAAATCATATAAATTATTATTTTTGAAATAGAACTGATTTTGGAAGCTCAGTTAGACCCACATCTGCCTCTTCAGGCACAATTAAAGTTAATCTGATTTTCTTCAGTGTCTTCACTGGGAATACCTTTATTCAGTGGTTTAGCCATCAGTTTTGCTTGGCTACTGTTAGTAAATTTTAGTGAATTAAATGTTTTGGCACAGCATCTTTTTGGTAGGCTTGATTTGACTTTCATTTTCTTGGAGTTGTTACTTAACAACATTTCTCTCCTTTCCACAGGTCTGTAGAAGACGAGGAGAGACCTTTTGCACTAGGAATGCAGTTTGTTTTGTTGCGAACACTTGGTATGTTCCTGAATTTCCAATGGTGCCTTTCAGTTCCCCTTTGCAGATGGTATTCTCACTGCCCTGTAAAACGGGAGGGTCGAGTCATTTGTCACCATGAGTAGCTAGAGTTTTACAGTTTAGTGGTGAGGGCACAATTTCCTTATTTTCTAACTTGATCTGAAAGCTGAGCACTCTGCCATTTGATGAAACAAAATGAAACCAACTTTAGATTAGTTTTCTTTTTACTGTGAACATTAACTTGGGCTAAATTCCCCAGAGAGTTTTATATAGTGAGAAATTCTGAACCAAGCAATTTGTAGCAACTTGATGGCAGTGGGTTTTGGTTTATTGTCCTGGAGTTTTTGTACCTTTATTCCTTTTTAACAGGAAAGTAATGGAAACTGGTTCTCATTTTATATGTGAAGTTTTCAATTCCTTACTTCAGTATACTAATTTTAGGAGTTCCTGGGTGGTGTAAGTAGTTAACACACTTGGCTGCTAACTGAAAGGTTGGAGGTTCAAGTCCACCCGAAGGCACCTTGGAAGAAAGACCTGGTGATCTACTTCCGAAAAATCAGCCATTGAAAACCCTAAGAGCACAGTTCTACTCTGTGAAACATGGGGTCACTATGACTTGAAATTGACTTTATTGGCAGGGGCTTATCTATGGAAATAGTGCTATGGCAAGCACTGGAATTTTGCCTGTGTCCAGACATCTGACTCATCTTCTAGATAACTTTACCATAATATCAGCTGAAAAGTACAAGTCAAGCTTGTTAGTCTTTTAACACATTATGACACTACATGAAAAATACAACTGCACCTTCCTTGCTTTCAGTGATGAAAAATGGTCAAGGATGAATTCTAAGTAATTTTTTTTTTTCATTGTGATTGGGGTAAAGGTTTACAGAGCAAATTCATTTTCCACTCAACAGTTCATACACATTTTGTTTCATGACACTGATTGCAATCCCCACAATTTAATAGCTGTCTTCCCAATTCCTCCCTGTGTTACTTTTGCACTGTGTCCTTCTTTCCTATGCATTCCTGCACTCTGAGCTATTTCCTCGTGCAAATGCTGCCCTTCTGATCTGCCATGCTTGATTGTTTTATGGAGTGTACACTGGTGTATTTGTTCACCTTGTAGGCCTATCTATTGTTTGGCTGGAAGCCACGGGAGTGAATTCAATATCAGGCCAAAGAGTTCCTCAGGGGTTTCCCCAGTCTCTAGCATGTCAGCAAGCCTGGTCTTTTTTTTTTTTTAAGATTTTTGAGTTATGTTCCACATTTTTCACCCACTCTCTCCAAGATCTCCAGTTTTGAATGCTTTCTGAGTAGTTGACAGTGGCAGCTGGGCACCATCTAGTTCTTTTGGTCTCAAGGTCACATAGGCTGAGGTTCCCATGGTCCAGTAGTCTCTTTGAATAATTGTTTCCGTGTATCTTTCATTCTTCTTTGCTCTGGATTAGAAGAGACCAATTGTTGCATCTTAGACGGTCACTCAAAAGCTTTTAAGACCACTGTCACTACTCATCAAAGATATTACTCGTCTTTGCAGGATGGAGAACAATGATTTTGTGTAGTATTTTATTGCCAACAAGCTCAAAGTCACCTGCATCCATGGTCCCAAGCCCACAGGCCCAGTGACTCATTCCCTCAAGGTGGTTGGCTGTGGCTAGGAAGTTATCATAACTTTGCCTCCTGTTAGTTCTGTTGTATATATGGACATTCTTACAGCACATACAAATATGTATATAGGAATATCATCTACCAAAATTATAGATGGTCATGGGTTTATTCCCTTTTGCCTACGTACTTCCATAGAGATACTGCCTCAGAAACCCAAGGAGGGGTCGCTATGAGTCGGATCCGACTTGACGGCAGTGAGTTTGATTCTTTTGGTTTATTTATGTATCCACCCTTAGACTACTGTTGCTTATTACTGATAATGCAGTATTGTGTATGGAAAAGTATTTACCTTTGTTGTCTGTACCTCTTATGTACCTTCCTGTGTCTTCCTTTCCTTAATGCTATTATGCTGGTCATTCAGTTTTGGTATATTGTCCTTCCCTTCACCCAAACCAATACATGTCTCTTACCTATCTAGCAATATTGCCTCCCCTTGCCTGCCATAGCTGGTAACCAACAAAGTAAGTTTCCATCCATGTGTAAACCTTTCCTTGACTTTTCACAAAACTGTACTTATACAGTATTTGTCGTTCTGTGATTGTCTTATTTCACTCAGCATAATGACCTCCTCATCCACAGTAGGAGGCTTTCTGAGGATTATTCATTATTCACTAATGTTGCATAGTGTTCTATTGTGTGTATATACCATAGTTGGTTAATCATTCATCCACTGATGGGCACTTCCATCTCTTTCCTATTGTGTGTGAATAGCGCTGTGATGAACATGGGTGTACATGTATCTATTCATGTCCCAGCTCTCACTTCTTTAGGATATATACCTAATAGTGGGATTGCTAGATCAAATGGTATTTCTATTTCTAACTTTTTAAGGAAGCACCACACCATTTTCCACAATGGTTGTATCATTTTTGAGTTCACTGTCACTTTCATTTCAGTTTCTTCTCTTTCTACACTCAGTAGCACTAGATCACACAGTCTGCCTTGACCCATGAAGACTCTTAAATATGGAAGTAGTAGTTTTAACTTGCTGAATGATCTCTCACCTGATGATGTAAACTGTGACATTTAATAGCAACTGTTCAGTGGTGCCCTCTTCAAGTGGTGCCCAGGGCACCTGCCATACCTGCTACATCTTAGATATGCTTCTGTTTATTGAAATGGCATACCTAGGAGCTCTGGTAGCATAATGGCTAAAGCACTTGACTGCTAACCAGAAGGCTGGCGGTTCAAACCCACCAGCCAATCCTCGGAAAGAAGGTTGGGCAATCCTACTTCTGTAGTGATACTGCCTTGGAAACCCAAGGAGGGATAGCTATGAGTCGGGGCCGACTCGACGGCACATAACAACAACAACAACAACATCGATTCATTTTCTAAGGAAATGAGATAAACAAATTCTAAAAATACACAAAAGAAAGATCCCAAATTAACATTATGAACTACCCTACAAGGTGTTTGGGGAGCTCTGGTAGCATAGTGCCTAAGGCACTTGACTGCTAACCAGAAGGCTGGTGGTTCAAACCCACCAGCCACTCCTCGGAAGGAAGATGGGGCAATCTACTTCCGTAGTGATACTGCCTTGGAAACCCAAGGAGGGGTTGCTATGAGTCGGGTCCGACTCAATGGCACATAACAACAAAAACAACAAGGCGTTTTACTTATTAACAAGAATGACTCATTAGGACTTTGTCGGGGTACATGAGGGATACCATTTTGATTTTTACATACACTGCATCACCCTGTGATATCTTTGGACAATCCATGGAAAATAAGCATATGAAGTAGCCCACTCCCTTGACCAGTTTCAACATATGTTGAATTGACTTTCTTGTCATCAAGTTGTTTCTTTCTTTCTTAAGTGGCAGCCTATCATTTTCTTTGGCTGTTATTTTTCCCCAGTAATCACTTTTATTGTTCATAAGACAAAAAAAAAAAAAGTTTTCCAATTTAAATTTCTTATTTCAGTTCTGACGGGAAAAATATTGTAAAATGGCATTGTCCAGCCTTTGACATGTTCACCCTCTGGAATTCTCAGTTTGTCACTGGTTGTGGTTGTTGGCTTAGACCAAGAATGAGCCTTTCCCAGTGAGCACCAGGAGGGAGTAGCCTCTAGTTCCATTTAATGGGTGGCTTTTTTGGACACCAATAAGACTTTTGTAGTAACATTTTTAACAGGCATGCTATAAAAGGAAATCCTGACATACTTTGATATAGATAGTTTCCACATTTGACCTCTACTTCTCTTTGAAAATGGAAACTTGCTATTTTCTTAGAAGGAAATGTATTTACCAAAGCAGTGGTTGAATAGGAAACAAACAAAAAAAAAACAGTTCCTCCTTTTTGCTGTGCTTCTTTCTGAGGCCATGGAGTGGGTTATTTGATACAGACGTGGAGTTTATAAAGGTAAGGCAGCAGATGTCCACTGCCGCATCAGGAAGACATGGAGGGAGAACAAAAAGCATTTATTATTTAATTCAACCTTATCTTAAGTTCATTTGATTGTGAAAACGTATAATTAGGCCAACAAGCCAATTTCCATTTCCCAAACTCCAAAGAAAAAAGAGAGTTTTAAGTACCTTAATAATTTAATTGTAGTGACTGGGCTGCATTTTAAATAAACACTATTTATTTTAGAATGTATCGCTCATAGCCTCCTGGGCTGTTAGCCCACCTGCCCTTTATCCCTCCCTCCCTCCTTCTTTTTCTTCCTTCTTCCTTCTCTTGCTCCCCATACCACCTTCTATAAACTCTTATTGAGGATCCAGGATTATTCTGATATATTGACCCTTGGGATACAAAGAATAAAAGGTGTAGCTGATGTCAGCGAGGAGCTTATGGGGTGACAAATTTGCAAATAGTTCAAATACTAGGTGATAGTTGATGTAACAGAGATATATACAAAATGCAATGAGAATAGAGTGGAGTCTGAGTGAGTCAGAAATTTAAAGGAGGGCTAGCTCTTTGCAGAGGCAATGGTGCTTCAGTGGTAGAATCCTTGCCTTCCATGCAGGAGACCCAAGATTGATTCTTGGCCAATGCACTTGGTACACAGCCACCACCCATGTGTTAGTGGTGGTGGTGTGTTGCTATGATGCTGAACAGGTTTCAGCAGAGCTTCTGGACTAAGACAGACTGAGAAGAAGGGCCTGGTGATCTACTTGCAAAAAAACAGCCAGTGAAAACTCTATGGATCCACAGCAGATCACAGGGATGGCGCAGGCCCGGGCAACATTTCATCCCATTGTGCATGGGGTCTGCATGAGCCAGCACTGATTCCATGGCACATCAGATAGCAGCAGCAACAGCAACAGCTCTTTGCAAGGTGCACCTGCTGGGAATGGGGCAAAGGGAGCAGGAAATGATGAAGGCTGTCTAGTAGGTAGGCTTTCTTTCTTATGAGACTAAAAAACTTGTCTATGTCATAGCCCAAACAATAAAGATACTACTCATCCCAAGTACTTCATAAACTTCAAGAATAAATTTTATGCCATAATTATTTCTGTACCCCAAGTGCCTTTTTAAAGTTGCCATTTGATTTGGTATCTAACTTAAAGAGGAAAATGCTTTCCTCTCTTTACATCCAAACACTTGACAAGAACCCACAAGAACTAAATGTACAGAATTTTAGTAGGTAATAAAGAGTTTTAGTGTAGCTTCTTGAGTATTTAACTACAAAATCAGACTTTTATGTTTGAAAGGTTTGTCTAATTGCATTTTTAGCAATAAACATTTTTATGATCCTAAAAAAAAGTCAATAAAACATTCTGGCTGAGTTGTAAGCTGGAGGACTTTACGTATTTACAATTTAGTGAACACCTTTGTAACAAAGATATTAGATAAGATGTGATGTATATGTCAAAAAAATCAGGTAATGCAAGGAAATTACTCCCCTTACCTGGTTTTAAGGTCCCAGGATGGCATAAAACATTTGCGCTCAACTGTTAACCTAAAGGTTGGTGGTTCAGATCCACCCACAGGCACCACAGAAGAAAGGCCTGGCAATCTGCTTCCATAAAGATTACAACCAAACAAACTCTATGGAGCAGTTCTACCCAGCAACAAATGGGTCACCGTGAATTGGAATTGACTCGACAGCAATGGGTTTGGTTTGGTTTTTGTGCAAACAAGTGCCTTGCTAACTTACAAGTCTTTTCTTTAGATATAGATGTGCTAAGTATTTCTATTTTTCTCTTTCCCCAAACTCTAGCATACATTCCTACTCCAATTTACTTTGGAGCTGTCATTGACACCACCTGCATGCTCTGGCAACAGGAATGTGGCGTGCAAGGCTCCTGTTGGGAGTACAACGTGACATCATTTCGTTTTGTCTATTTTGGTTTGGCAGCTGGCCTCAAATTTGTTGGCTTTATTTTTATTTTTCTGGCCTGGTACTCCATTAAATACAAGGAGGAGGAGCTGCAGAGGCAGAGGTGGCGAGAATTCCCTCTGAGCACTGTGAGTGAGATGGTGGGCCGCAACAAACATGCCGCCAACTCTGCCCGGACTAGGTCTTGCCCTGCTTTCAGCACCCAAGGAGAATTCCACGAAGAGCCTGGTCTGCAAAAAGGGATCCAGTCCACAGCACAGACCTATCCTGGACCCTTCCCTGAAGCAATAAGTTCCTTAGCCGACCGGGGGCTGGAAGAAAGTCCGACTGCCATTTAGCCTCTCTCCTGAAGCTTGAAAATGGAAGACTCTACTTTTGTTGGTTGAGTTGAATATGGCGACTTGAGAAACACCTGTGCCTTCTTTCTTTTCTTTTTTTAACCTCTAAAGACACAACCCTCAAACCAACAAAACTCAATAGAAACAGCCACTACTGATTGAGGGCTGGATACCTCAACAAGTCTAAGAGCCTTTATCCCCTTCTCTCTGAGAGGAGGAGTTTAGACAGATGTGTTTCCATTTCCTCTGTGTTAATTTAATGCTCACACTCCAATATGGTATAAGGCTGAGGTACATGGTTAACAAAATCATGCGAAGGGTAATGGCAGCACATATCATTAGCATACACTTCAAGCACAGGTGAGCTTGACCATGACTTTGCTTTTATAAATCGAAATTTTTAGATATGAACATCTACTGCATTCTGCTACAAAGCACAAATGAATTTGCCTCAACTATGCAATTTGGTTGGAAAAACATAAGTGCAGCATGTTCCTTTTGCTTTCAGAGACTAAAGCTGGTAAGTTTTTAAAAAGAGGAAGCTAAACTTTTCCTAAAGTACTGTTAATAGCATTTTAAGCCATAGCAGAGTTATAAATCAGGTAGAATTTTTCAAATGCTTCCAAGGAACCATATGCATAGCTTGATAAAGGGAAGAGGTACTTCATTTCATAAGACAAATTCCTTTGGTCTGTATGCCCCATCCTAAAGTAGTCAAAGAGACTTCTGAATCATAAATCTGGTAGCTTGAAAATAAACTCCAGTATTCTTTTGTAAGGGGCTTTAAATCTAGTATGCTAAATGGTATGGTTAGAAATTGTCATTTGAGATGCATGATATGGGAAGAAGCTGATGGCTTTTTCACTCAAGGAAGTTGCTGCAGAAATTCCTTTAACTCTTATGGGTACACATGTGCAAACTTGACACTCAAAAGTGGTTGGAAAAAGAAATTCCAGAAAAGTAAGGTTGCATCCCACCTGATCATTTTCGTTATATACTTGGAAGCAATGACAAATCTATATTGTTCTTCTTTTTTCTATAGAGAAAATTCCTGCAGTTGAGAAATTAAATCAGGAAAACTGTACCTGGGATATGGGAATCATTTTAAATACAGGAGGAGTGAGATCTGTGAGCTGGCCTAGAATATGATCCTCACTAATTACTTGAGAAATATTTAAAATAAACTATTCTCTCAAACTGAATTCTAGTTTATCAGCATTGAAATTGTTTTATTGCTCCCTTGGATTTTTTCTACGGTAACATTCCTGAAGTGGTTCAGAGAGAGGATTTTTCTGTTCCTGAAAGCACTTTGGGTTCATTATCCATCTTTTCTTTTCACTATCTTGCAGCTCTTTACTTTGACTTAGGCACCATATACATGCTTTCTATGTGGGTCTTAAGATACACATCTCCTGACCCCACAATGGATGATATCAGGTTAACTAATGGGATCTGGCTGCTTATTAGAAAGAGAATCATGACAACTCAGATTTGGGGTTGGAGCACTGTAGGTTCCAAACATCAGTATAATTGGGAACTCTTTCTGCCACAGAACCCATGTATAAGTAGTGCTAATATGGGAAAACACTCATGAAGATAGTGCAGGATCAGGCAACATTTTGTTCTGTTATATATGGGGTCACTGTGAGTTGGAGCCAACTTGAGGGCAACTAAACAGGAACAAATATTTGAGAAATGATCTTATTGGCTGGTGTATGTTCTTCCCTAGGTGGGATGGGAGTCCTGGGTGGTGCTAACAGTTTATATGCTCGACTGCTAACCAAACGTTGGAGGTTTGAGTCCACCCAGAGGTCCTGATGATTGACTTCTGAAAAGCAGTCATTGAAAACCCCATGAAGTGCAGTTCCACTCTAACACGCATGTGGTCCCTATGAATTGCAGTTGATGGCAACTGCTTTGGTTTGGTTTTGGTTTCCAGAATGGGATATTATTGATAGATTGTCTCATGATCCAGGTTTTTCCCTCCACCATTGGCTGTGTTGATGAAATCATTGGCTGCATTGATGAATTATTCTTGGATCCCAGGTTGTTTTCCTCTCAGCCTCAGGACGGCATTGGTCAAATGGTTCTTGGTTGAGTGCAGTTTGTGGAGACGGGTATCACGCTCAGACTGAATAATGTGTCCAAGGAGTGGAGCTAGTGGTCTTGGGTGACAAGGAACCATTTCCCAAATATTTGTTCCTGTTAGTTGCCCTCAAGATGAAAAGCACTTCCCTTTGGTCCTTGGGCCTGGCTCTCAAGCAAGTGAGCAGTCTGGCTTGGCTAAATCATAGAAACGACTGCTAATGGCACTTGTGTCTGTTAAACTCCAGTCAAGGTGATATATATACTGAAGGTGATTAATTTAGTGTCTGCTCTGGGGCCTCAGGCTTCCTCTTCACCCTCTGTGGTAGATCCACTGATCCTTCAAAAGAGAAAGTTTCTTTAGGTGGTCGTGCTAGAGATGTGTAGAGGAGGGAAGGTGTTAATTTTTCTATGGTCATAACAAAATTGCGTTAAGAGAGCTTCTGTGGGAATGGCACCTGCGTGTTCCCACATGCTTAGAATTTCTGTCTCCTTGGTAGCACATTTTGAAAAGGAGACTCTCTCAGAACTCCAGGGTAGGAAAATGATGGATTCACCAGGTGTAATTAAGAGGCTCTCTTTCTCTGACATGAACAGACATCTAGTTCAAGAATCATTGGCCTTGACCAGGCACCTGTTATCTGTCAGGCACCTACTCACTTACCATCTAACATTATATGAATCATTTTGAGAATATTAGGCCAGGATCAAAACAATTTGGCCAGAAATGTGCCAATGTTAATACTGTATGTCCTCAAGTATCTGATACTTATAAATAGCAGGTGTATCACTAATGTGTTGTTGGTGAATGTGGAATAAGTAGTGAAAATCAAGGGGCCGTGAAATATTGGACTATGTACCAATTAAGAGTTGTTTCAAAAATACTATGGGCTCTGGTAGCATCATCAGAGTATTACATAGCCAGCTAAAGCAACTGTTTTGTAGATGACTCCATTTAATTGTATACATAAGGTCTTATATGTCATGTTACTTTACAGTCATAACTCCTATTATAAATTCTAATTGCGACTCTTCATGAGTTTAGGCTTCTTATTACTTGTTTTTCATAAAGGCCACTCTGTTCCTTTATAAACTCTGCAAATTAATGTGTGTGGCTTTAATATGCAAAAATAATATACTGGAGTTGAACCTGTTAATTTAGAAACTTCAAGGGGGTCGAAACCCAGTCTTTTTATTATCTTTATTAGCATGAAATCCCTATCATTTGTAGGTGGATTTAATTTTGGAAAACAGTCAAAAGTCATTCAGAATCAAGTGCGGATGGAAAGAAGCAAGGAGGACCAGCAGAGAGGAAACAAATCATTATCTGTTGAGAGTTGAGTGGCTGGGAGCATTTGATCAAGCACTTAGTGTACATCATTTATTTTAATCCTCTTGTTAGTTTGCAATATAACTGTTCTTATTCCATTAAAAAAAACAGGTATGAAACTGAGGCTCGGAGAGGTTAAGTAACTTGTTCAGGATTGCACAGTGTGGTAAAGTCAGGGTTCAGGTGTAGGTTTCTCTGGCCCCACTGCTTATTTCTTAGATTGTATTTCATACAATCACTTTGTGACTCACAAAGGCAAGACAACTATATAATAATAGTAAGCTTAACGGCTTTCATGTTTTGATCTATTATTGTTTTGGAAAGTAGATAAATTATTATTTCTTTGTGCAAAATAGAAATAAATTCTAGGGAATGTCAAAATTTAATGTTGAACTAGATTTTCAAGGTAAATGTACATTTATTTAGCTAAGTGTTATAATGAAAATTGTCACAACATACCTCAAATATTTACTTATAGTTCATATTTAATATGGAACAAATCCAAGTTAGGTGTTAACATCAAGATACCATTTCCGAAATGAAACATTATGAAGAAAGATAGATCAGATTTATTGACTCTAATCTTTGGGGATTCGAGGTATACGGATTTCTCTTTTCCTTCAGAATGTTAACATTTCCACTCTTTTGGTGACTATTAGTTTTAATTTTTGTTATAAAGATTTTAAATGAACAGATACAAAGTACAAACCAAACCACTGACCCCAACTGATTACCTTCAGTTGTCATGGAAATAACTGGCAGCATGCATTTGGGAGTGTTAGGCATCAGAGATGGGGTCACCTGGATTCGGGCCCAGTGGAGGTCATGGGGGTGTTACATTTTCACCAACCATGAAGAAAATTCTCAGGTCCACATTCTGGTCTGTGTTCTTCAGTGAAATTATAGCCAGAAGGTTTCTCCTCAGAGCCTGTTTTGTAGCAACCATGCATGTGTGCCAAAGAGAAGCTTCCTAGTTTGTGTGGACCCGCATATGAATATTTTGAGGATCCTCTGGTGCCTCCAGGAGTAGGAGGTGAGCCCTCATGTGGGGTGGTGTCCAATTACACTTTGTGATTATGATGTCTGAGAACATCATAGATGACACAGAAGCATGAGTATAACCACTGACATATAGGTGCATACTGAGTATTCTAAGTAGCAGATAGATATCAAGATACTGTATAATCCCAGGACTGCCTAGATAGCAGGTTTGCTAGTTCAGTGTTACACAGACCAGTAGGTAGCCTTTGCTTGTGTTTCCTGTCACATCATCCTATCTCCAGAAGGGCACTGGCTGGCACATGGAGTTGGTCACCCTCTGCAGATCATCATTTCTACTTTCTCTTTCTTCACCATCTTCCAGGATGCTGCGGGCTGTATCGGTCACAGATGTCTTGCTACACTGGAATAGATCTGTGTATTTTTGAAGAGGCTTGGAGCACTTCCTTTTTTTTCCCCTCAGCCCTAGGAAGGGTCAAATATGAGGAAAATCCTGCCGAGCTGTTTGCTTTTACAACATTAAAATACAATAAAAATGCCTTGGTGCTAAAAGTATCTGAGATGCATGCTCTTCCACTGAAAAGCATCACCAAACTCACAGTATTTCATTGATAAGGGACTGCATGTGCTTTGCTTTTGGAAAACTTGGAGATTTTCCCAGAAAATGAGCACTCATTTCTCTCATTATGACTGTTAATCCATGGACGCTTAGCTGCAAAAATGAAGAGTACAAGGGGAGATACTTTTCTATGAAACCTTACACTTTTGATATTTATTTTAGCAAGACTAATCAGTTGTTAGGAGCTCTGGTAGCGTAGTGCCTAAGGTACTTGACTGCTAACCAGAAGGCTGGTGGTTCAAACCCACCACCCACTCCTTGGAAGGAAGGTTGGGCAATCTACTTCCGTAGTGATACCGCCTCAGAAACCCAAGGAGGGGTCGCTGAGTCAGGTCCGACTTGATGGCACATAACAACAACAACAATAATCAAATGCTGAAAATAATTTCATCAAGCAGTACACAAAATATTTCAGATAATCTTTTCTTATTTCTTCTCCAAAAAGTTTATACCCATGTGAGATGTTTTTAACATTGGGGTTTTGAAGGTGGTGCCTTTTTCTAGTATT